TCTGAGGAAGCGAATCCGGATTTGGAATCCAAATCGAATAGTAACAAACTCAGAGAAAGAGATGATTTGTTATGAATTGGTTTTCTCATTAATTGTAAAACTATACAGTAATGTTTGTTATATACAATCTCTACATACGCTAACATGCATTTACTCAGATATAATAAAAGAGAAAACCACAAAGAGATGAAAGAAATTGCATAATTAGATTAAAAAATAAAAATTGGGTTCAGAAATCTTCTATAGAAATACAGAATTAGAGATTTTTCTTCCAAATCTTACAAAATTTCCAAAAGCTAAAAAGTCTGATGAAAAATAAAGCATAGCCTCCCCAATGACTGAAATCACGATTTTGGTTCAAACCGAGTCAAAATAGAAAAATCTGCCATTTCGTTAATTTATAGCAAACCAGTCGGTTTAGACATACTGACATGTTTTCACTAAAACTTCCATAACTTTTGATCCCACCGTTGGAATAACTTCATATCACTTCCAAATGAAAGCTAACTCGACTTTCTATCTAGTGTTCAAATTTCAGCTCGATCCAATGGTAGAAAGTCACTCAAAGAACGCCAAACTTCTAACCATTTTATGTACATTTTCTTCTAATACTTGCTCTCTTGCCTTAGACTCCATCCAAACGAATTTAAACATGAAAAGATTCTAAAGACATAGAAAAGACTCGAGAAACCATTGAAAACATTAGTTAGAATGCATAAAAAACGCAATACATCAGTTTATATGTGGATCAGAACAGCTCATTTCCCTCTCCCGCCCCCTGTTGCTCCTCCTGTTGCTCCTCGTAAGCAAGTTTATGTGTGTTGCATTTGTGTGTTGTTATAACTGGTGATCTGAACTTGTGTTTTTGCAGCTCAATTTCTTCACGCTGCTTTTGATGATGATGGTCCATTTCCCGTTCAAGCCCCTGGTTAGTGTTCAATCCTTATACGATTGCAACCGTTAGTTTTCAACCGGTGACGCTTTGAGTTTTTTTTGTCTATTTTTGTATGTGGATCGGAACAGCTCCTCTCCCTCTCCCGCCCCTGTTGCTCCTCCTGTTGCTCCTCGTAAGCAAGTTTATGTGTATTGCATTTGTGTGTTGTTATAACGGGAGATCTGACCTTGTGTTTCTGCAGGTCGATTTCTTCACGGAGCATTTGATGATGATGGTCCATTTCCCGGTTAGTGTTCAATCCTTATACGATTGCAACCATTAGTTTTCAACCGGTGACGCTTTAAGTTTTTTTATCTATTTCTGTATGTGGATCGGAACAGCTCCTCTCCCTCTCCCTCCCCCTGATAGATACGTGGAGCACATGAGGCATGAACTTGCTAGGGACACTTTGAGGAAGCATAACTACTTCTTGGGTGGACGGTAACTAAATCTCCTCTAGTCTTTGTTCTCTTGAAAGCACAATGTATGCTATAAGGCTGTACTTTCTTCTTCTGTTCTTGTTTGTTTACGACTAAACCTTTCTTTTTCTTTGTGGTTTGAACTTGGAAATCCATTGAAAAGCTTTGAATCATTTGAAAAATTCTGTTAAAATAAAGTTAAAAACTCAAGACAATAATCGGAAAAAGTATTGAATTGCTGTTTCTCATGGATTGTATTGATGATTAGATCATTCATCATTGAATAAACTTAGCAAAAAAAGAATTGACTTCTGTATTAATGATTGTGATATGCAATATATTTTAGAAATATTTGTTAAAATTTTATTTGCAAAACTCTAATTTTGTTAAATATATATTCATCCCTATAAATACAAAAAATATAGATTTAAATTAGGACAATTGCAAAAATGCCACTTTTTGTGTGCACATTTACAAGAATGCCATTTAAAGGTGTCATTTTGCAAAAATGCCACTAATTATAGATTTATAAAGCCTATATCTTAAAATTCTAAACCCTAAAAAATGTTTTGACCCCTAAAACCCCCTAAACACTTAAAACTAAACTCTAATACAATATAGTTAACCCAAACATAAATTATATAATGAAAAAATAATTTTGAAAAAATGACATTTTTACAAAGATTTTGAAAAAGTGGCATTTTTGTAAAATTTTCATTTAAATTTGGTGCAAGCTATTCTACATCACATCAATGTTTCATATTTTAATGGCTTTTCCGAATTCTGCAATGTCCATGTAATCATATTCTAATCTATTTGTTGATTCATTTGTAATAATTGAAAGTCTTGCATGTTTGATTATTTTATTATTTACTTTTATGTGTAAGATCGGTTATACCATTTAATTTTAAAATTTTAATAAATACAAAAATTATAGTATTACAATTTAAATAAGTTAGTGGTTGTTATAATTAAATCCTCCATTAATTAGCAAACTTATTATTTTAATAATTCTAAATCACACATATTATTTTACACACATAAAACTTATTTTTCGAGTACACAAAGCTCTCAACATATCGGCATGAGTAACTTCTCACAAGTCACCATATTCGAATTCTTAATATAGTTTTTCGTAACATTCAAATGTAACTTGTAAATTCAAAAAAAAAAAAAAATGTAACTTGTATGTTTGTTCCATTTCCACCCCAAAAAAAAAAAAAACAAATCTCATACCACAACCGACGCCAATTTTTGTTTTTGTTCGTTCAAATAATATTTTATTTATGTTTTTGGGATTTTTCTCAGAAACAACATTTTAGAGAAAAGAAAAATATAGAATTTTAGGTTAACCAACATAGATTCAACAACTAAAATCTATTTTTCAATCTAGTTGTATAACTTGGCGCGAAATCTCCGGGGTGGCTTCAAGTGCTATACATTTGGCAAAGAAAAGTTTTTTTAGAGAAGTTTCAGCTAAAATTTTAGATTGATATTTTATAATCGTTTATTCGAAAGGAAATTGTATAGACAACAAGAGAACATTAAATTGAAATCAAAGCTCTGGAAAGTAAATGATCGTAAAGGCTATTTATGGGTTACGTTTGAGAAGTGCAAAAGACAATTTTTTGATAGACACATGTCAACCACATAAGTTACCACATGTCACTTAGATGGAGAGAGCTCCTCATATGATTCATTTGAGCTTAATTCCTCAAAGTTATTATATACTAGAAAATGCTGTTTCACAATTTTATTAAAGCTTATTTAATTAATTAAAATAAAATATAATTCCTCCGTTTCAAAATGTAAGTTGTTTTAGCTAAAAACACGGATGTTTAAGAAACTACTTTTCTACTAAAAAGTATTATATAATATATTAATAAAGATAATTTGACCAATCACACAAAAGACTGTAAAATRCTAGTAGTCACACAATATTCAATAAAGTTAAAAAGTACCTAAGATTGTCAAAACAACTTACATTTTGAAACAAAAAGAAACCTCTAAAAGAACTTACATTTTGAAACGGAGGGAGTATTATATTTGTTTGAAAAATCTACTTTATGTACTTTATGTATGTTTTTAATTAAGTTATGGTATTTTAACATATTAATATTTTATTATTAAAAAATTAACTCTTTTACGTTTTTTAGATTAATAATTTTGTCTTAATTAACATATAATACATTTTTTTATGTTGATGTAAATTTCTTCAACTATATATATTTTTGTTGTAACGTTTGATCTCTAACTTTCTTGAATTGTAATTTTTGGTGTGCTACTTTTTAAAAATTTCACAATGGGTTGTCTATTTTCAAAAATGCCACTAATTATGGATTTTTAAAACTTAAATCTTAAAATTCTAAACCCTAAAAAATATTTTGACTCCTACCAAACCCTAAACCCTCAAAACTAAATTCCAATACAACATAATTAACCCAAACATAAATAATATAATAAATATATAATTATGAAAAAGTGACATTTTTGCAAAATTTTTTAAAAAGTGGCATTTTTGAAAAGTAACACTTCAAAAGATGTATTTCTCAAAATTTCTCAACTTTCATAAGGTTAAATTATCGTTTGAATCTAATTTCCTAACCTATAAAATTAACAAAATACAAAAGCTTTCTTATAAATGAAAAAATTATAAAAAATTGTCATACAATGATTTTGAATTGGTGGTCTTATTTTATAGAAAAATATACTTTATTCTAGATTAGTTTAAATAGTAGTTCCATCACATGGAATATCGTTTCCCATTTACATATTAATATCTTGATTTACTTTTTTTGTTTTTATCTTTTTTGTAATAACATTTACTTTTTGTTTGGTCTAAACGATAAACCTATTAAATTTTCATTTAACTATATTAATATAAACGTTTTTGATTTTGATTTTTTTTAGAATATGGAAAATGACTTTTCAAATTTCTCTAATATTTGAAGAGAAATTTTAAGAAATGTCATTTTTCAAGTGCCACTTTTCAAAAATGCCATCTTTTCAAAATCTTTGCAAAAATGCCACTTTTTCAAAATTATTTTTTCATTATTTCATTTGTGTTTGGGTTAACTATATTGTATTAGAGTTTAGTTTTGATGGTTTTAGGGGTCA